TTCCCCCAGGAGCGGCGGGAACGGGCGCTGGGGGTCCTGACCTACCTGGGCCAAAGCGCGGCCGAAGCTCAGACCAAACCCCCCTGGTACCTGAGAGCACCCCCCAAATTGGGGGAGGGGTCCCGGGAGGTGCAGGGGGGGCGCAAATCCCTCCTGGATCCTCTGCAGGAAATGAGGAAGGGGCTGAGAAAAATCCCCGAGCCCGAAAAACCCCCCCGGAGCCCCCCCGGGAACAGCCCCGAGAGGGGAGGGGGAGGAGGGTGAGTGAGGTTTAATTCATTTATTAATTGGGTTAATTAATTCTTGATTAATTGGGTAAAAAATGGGGGTTGACCCCTGCAAAATCGGGGTTTCATACTCCAAAATTAGGGGTTTTTTCCCTTAAAATTTGGGGTTTATTCCTCTAAAAATTGGGGTTTTATTTCCCTAAATTGAAGTTTTAATGCCTGAAAATTTGGGTTTATTCCTCCCAAAATTTGGGGTTTACTTCCTTAAAATTTGGGGTTTTTTTCCCTAAAATTGCGGTTTTATTCTCCTAAAATTGGAGTTTATTCGCCTAAAAATTGTGATTTTTATTCTCCAAAATTTGGGGTTTATTCCTCTAAAAATTGGGGGTGGATCCCTCCAAAATTTATTCCTTTAATTAACCCCTTAATTACACCCTTAATTGCCCTAATTATCCCCATTACTTACCCCTAATTAACCCCTTAACTACCCCCTTAATTACTATGTTGATTACCCCAATTATTTCCTAAATACACTCAAACCATCCGGGTTCATTACCCCAATTAACCCCTTAATTACCCCAAATTTCCCCTTAAATTACCCTAATTAACCGTTCAACTATCCCTAATTACCCCCTTAATTACTCCTAATTAACCCTTTCAATTAGTCCTAATTAACACCTCAATTACCCATCAAATTACCCCAATTAACCCCTTAATTACCCATCATTAACCCCTTAATTACCCATCATTAACCCTTCCATTACCCCTAATTAAACCCCCAATTACCCCCTTAATTACCCTAATTAACCAATTATCCCTAATTATCTATTAATTACCTCTAGTTAACCCTTCAATTACCCCTTTAATTAACCCTAATGAACCCCTTAACTACCTCTAATTAACCTTTCAATTACCCCAATTAACCCCTTAATTACCTTAATTAATCATTCAATTACCTCTAATTAACCATTCAATTACCCSTAATTAACCCTTTAATTACCCCAAATTAACCCCGATTTACCCCCCCATTAACCCCTCCCATTACCCATCCCTAATCCCCATTAATTAGTATTAATTAGCGTTAATTARCATTAATTAATTGCCGTTTCAGGCTGGAGGAGCTGCGGCGTCAGCGTTTGATCCGCGAGGCCKCCGAGGCCGCCCGGAGCCGGGAATTGCTGAGGAAAAATGACCCAAAATCCCCAAAATTCACCCCAAAATCCCCAAAATCCCCCCGGGAGAGGGAACAGCCCTACAACAGCCAATTCCATCCCAAATTGGGGAGAAAAAAATACACCTGAGACCCCAAAAATATCCAAAATATCATAAAAATAACCCAAAAATCATCAAAATCACCCCAAAATTCACCCCAAAATCCCCCAAATTCACCCCAAAATCCCCCAAATTCACCCCAAAATCCCCCCGGGAGCGGGAACAGCCCTACAACAGCCAATTCCATCCTAAATTAGGGAGAAAAAAATACACCTGAGACCCCAAAAATACCCCAAAATCCCCCCAAATTCACAATGGACTGTTCCACCTCAGACTGGTGGGGGAGGGGGCCCAAAAAACCCCCCTGAGACCCCCAAAATCCACCCAAAACCCCCCCAAAATCCACAATGGACTGTTCCACCTTGAACTGATATGGGAGGGGACCCAAAAAAACCCCAAGAACCCCAAAATTCACCAAAATCCACCCAAATCCACAATGGACTGTTCCACCTCACACTGGTGGGGGAGGGGGCCCAAAAAAAAAACTCTGAGACCCCCAAAATTCACCCAAAACCCCCCCAAAATCCACAATGGACTGTTCCACCTTGAACTGATGTGGGAGGGGACCCAAAAAAACCCCAAGAACCCCAAAATTCACCAAAATCCACCCAAATCCACAATGGACTGTTCCACCTCAGACTGGCACAGGGGGGGCCCATAAAACCCCCCTAAAACCCCCCTAAAACCCCCAAAATTCACTCAAAATCCCCCCCAAATCCGCAATGGACTCTTCCACCTCAGACTGGCACAGGGGGGGACCCAAAAATCCCCCCTGAGACCCCCAAAAACTCCCCAAAATCCACAATGGACTGTTCCACCTCACACTGGCGCAGGGGGGACCCAAAAATCCCCCCTAAAACCACCAAAATTCACCCAAAATCCCCCAAAATCCCCCCCAAATCCACAATGGACTGTTCCACCTCACACTGGTGGGGGAGGGGGACCAAAAAAAGCCCCCCGAGACCCCCAAAATTCACCCAAAACCCCCCAAAATCCCCCCAAATACACAATGGACTGTTCCACCTCAGACTCGCATGGGGGGGGGCAAAAAAACCCCCCCCGAGACCCCCAAAATTCACCCAAAATCCCCCCAAACCCACAATGGACTGTTCCACCTTGGACTGATGTGGGAGGGGACCCAAAAAAACCCCAAGAACCCCAAAATCCACCCAAATCCACAATGGACTGTTCCACCTCAGACTGGCACAGGGGGGGACCCAAAAAAACCCCTAAAACTCCCAAAATTCACCCAAAATCCCCCAAAATCCACCCGAGACCCCCCCAGGACTCCCCCCAAACCCAATGGGACCCTCCAGGACCTCCCCAAAATTCCAGGGACCCCTCCCCAAATCCATCAAAACCCCCCCAAAATCCATTGGTATCTCCCATCCCCTCTATGGGAACCCTCGGGGTGGAGCGGCCCAAAATTTTTCGGGGGGGGGGAACCCAATTTTGAGGGGAAAAAAAAGGAATTTTGAGGGGGATTTTTCACTCAAATTTTGGGGGTGAAGAGGAAATTTGGGGGGTGGGATTTGGGGTTGAAATGGAGGATTTTAGGGACCCCCCACCCAAAAAAATAAAAAAATCCCCTCCCCCACCCCCCCCCACAACGAGCTGTGATATAAAACTATTTATTCATAAATATTTTCCAAAACGAAAATAATTTTACGAAAAAAAAAAAACTCTTCAAC